GGGAGGAAGTGGGAGGGCAGCTGTTGCATTGGGGTAAATTGTAGTCAATGTCATGAGACAAAGTGTATGTGAACTGCTGTATGGAAAGTGAATTTGCTGTGCAAACTTTCACCCAAATCATAATTTAAAAAACAAAAACAAAAACTTGAATTTCACATTGTAAAATAGTCTTCTTTTGATTTTTAAAATCCATTTAAAAATATAAAATTGATTCTTAGCTCATGGGCTATACAAAAACTGGCAACAGGTTGCCGGGCCTCACTCTAGGTTTACAAGTAATTCCATTTTATAGATTATGAGTAGGACAACAATTCGTGTCTGGGTGCCTAATCTCCACTTTTCTTCTTAAATCCAGTTGAAGATTTTTCAGAAGAAGAATGATCATTCCTGTTTTTTAAAGATCATTTGGTTGTCCCTAGGGCTCCCACATATAAATCAATTTCTTTAATAAAAACTTTACTTGGATACAGCTTATCTGTTCCAAACACTGGCTTCAACAAAAACAACAAATACTTTTAAAATAGAAATAACTGTTTCAAATATTCTCTGGAAAAATTTTATTTTTATTTTTAAAATTGTCATGAATATCTGTTAAATATCTCCTTTCTGATCACATTTTACACAACTCCTGAAAGATAATCTAATTGCTATGGATTTATAGAGTGAGTCAATTTACTGATGGAAATTGTGGAAAATATCTGGGCCACGGCACTTCAAAAAACATTCTCAGCATTGTTTCTTATACATATAAGGTCCACAGAAGACATTGGCATAGCAAATGGGGGCTCTGAAGTGAGATAACCCTGAGTTTGAAATCCACACTTACAAGTAAATGGATAATAAATGGAAATTATTCTTTAATTATTACTGTGGTGTAGCACAGTATAGCAAAGAGGTTAGAAACACGAGCTTTGTTCTTGGTTACTGAGGCCTCGATTTAAATAATTACTCTATGTCTAGTAGCATGGATATGTTTCTTAGTCTCTTTAAGCTTCAGTTTTCTTATCTGAGGTTGTTGCTGTTGTTGTTATGTGCCGTTGAGTTGGACCCGACTCATAGCGACCCCTCCTTGGGTTTCCAAGGCAGTATCACTACGGAAGTAGATTGCCCAACATTCCTTCTGAGGAGTGGCTGGTGGGTTTGAAGCACCAGTCTTCTGGTTAGCAGTCAAATACCTTAGGCAGTATGCTACCAGAGCTCCTTATCTGGGGTTAGTTTTGAAAAATATGTAGTAATAGTTGGGAGAGGTTAAATAAGACTATGCATGTACAATCTGGAATTTGCTTAGTGAAATTCCATTGGTAAAGATGAAGCAGGATACACCTTGTCTTAATGACACCTTTACTTCCTCTTCTATACACTTATTGGA